CCCCTGCCCACCCAGCAGCAGCAGCGGGGATGGCAGTGCAGGGTTGTACCCCTTGCTGCTGCGGTGTGGGCAGGGGGAGCTTTGCTAGTGCAGCATGGAGCTGGCAAAGACAAGGAGCTTCCCCACCCAGCTCCATCACATCTGGACAAGAAATTGAAGGCCTAATTTACAGAAGGCCATGGCAGTGTTGTGCATCATGCCACACTTGTGCAAACTGGGTCAACGCAAGGGGTTTGCCTAAGAAGCTACTGCCCAGCTAAGGCATAACCCTTCTCCCTTCATTTCCATCCATCCCTGCCCACCAGTGCCCATCAGTAGATGGACTGCATGTAAAGAGCAAAGCCACTGGAGAATTTTTACTGCTAGTGCTGCTGCTGCATTAGATACTGGTGCTTCTGCAAGAAGGCAGGAGAAACAATGACTATCTGGAGAAATGTAAAGGACTGTAAAAAGGTCATTAGTCAAGGAGGGCAGAGCTGGCAATACAATAATGGGCTTAGGAGGCAGCAAGGAAAATTCAAGTTAAATATTAAAGAGGAACTTGGTCTTATTAGGTGGCAGGGCAATCTGATAAGGGAGGCTTGAGGAGTTGCCATTACTGGAGCTATATAAGGCTGACAGCTACAGCATACCTGAAGCAATATGTATACAAGGCCATAATAATTATAGCAATAATAATAATTATAGCCTGACTCTTTGCTGCCTGGTATCTTGTGTGCTCCTTCATACGAGCAAGCACGGCATTTATCATAATCTGCATGACAGTGGTATCAAGAGGCTCCAGCTGAGACTTGGACCCTGTTGTACTGGGTGCTGCACATCCACGTAGTAAGAGGCAGCTCTGGAAAAGGTGTCATTAGGTTCCCATTTTGCAGGGGCTTGGACATCCACAGCTAATCTATGACTAGGGTCTGAGTTTCTTCAGTCCTGAGCCCATACCACCAGCCGTAAGGCTTTTCACTTCTGATAAGGAATGCAGAGTCTTTGGAGTGGGTAGGACAATGAGCAGTGATCCATATTTTCCATTTCCCATAGAAAAACATCGACTTCCCCTTTTACCTGAGAAAAAATATGGATTTTTCATGTTAATGGAGAAACGTGTGGATTTTGCAGTTTTTTGCTGGCAGAGCTCCAGCCTGCAAGGAACTTGGGGGAGTGGTGGACCAGGGGTGCACCTGTGCCCCAAGATGTATGTGTGGGGTGGAGGTAGGGATGGGTGGGGGTAGCCCGCTGTGGGCTCAGGCCCCCCACCCTGCTGCTCTCCCTCAGGGCCTCCACAGCCCAGCAGGCAGGACCTGGCGCAGCTGGCAGGGCAGGGCAGGGCAGGGCAGCTCTTTGCTGCTGCTAGACCCATTCCATCCTGACGAGGCATCCCCTGCCCACCCAGCGGCAGCACCAGAGATGGCAGTGCGGGGTTGTACCCCTTGCTGCTGCAGTGTGGGCAGGGGAAACTTTGCTAGTGCAGCACAGAGCTGGCAGTGACAAGGAGCTTCCCCACCCAGCTCCGTTCTGCCCTGCCAGCTCCCACCTGCTGAGCTGCGGAGGCCCCAGGGGAGGGCAGCAGGGCAGGATGCCCGAGCCTGCAGTGGGCAGCCCGCCCCTGCCCTACACACAAGTACAGGGAGCACAGGTCCCCCTGCCCCGCCCTAGGACTGCGTGCAGTTGCAGGGAGCCAACCCCACTGCGCAGCCAAGCTGGTAGCAAGCAGCCCACACACCCTGCCTTGGCCATGTCCCTGTGGGATGTGGGGAGCTGGGCTCCATGCTGCACTTCATTGCAGCAGCCCGTCTGCGGAAGGTGGGGCTTGGGCACTGCTGCGGGGGGCAGGGGGCTGCAGACCTGGGTTTCCTCACCCTGTAGCCCTGGCAGCTGGGCGGTGGGGAAGGACACCAGCACGGCTGGGGGGAGAGAGGGGAAGCAGCAGGGCCGGGGAGGGGGAGTGAGGGGCCTGGACCTATGTTCGGTGAGCTAGGGGGGCAGCAGGGAGCTCCAATTTTCCATGATAAAAACCCCCAAATCAAATACCAAAATATACAGATATTTATAATTTATTTTGTTATAGTGATTGAGGCACTGGTAGGCTTCCAAATTGCTTTAAAATTGTAAATACAATAAAAGCTTTGTTATCCGGCATGAGCAGGGTAAGGGGACTGCCAGTCATCTAAAAATTCCGGTTATCTGAGTGTTATACCGGCCCCAGCCTGCAGCTGCAGCCTGCCCTGCCCTGCCCTGCGCAGTTCCCTTTCATTCCTCTGAAAGAGCTTGCCATAGGGGCCATCTGAATGATGTGTGGAGCCTTTAATAAAAATAAAGCCATCAGCTGAGCATTTGTGCTCGTCTGGTGGCTGTGTGTGGGGGGATGTTCTTTGCTGAGGGGGCGTTTGGAGCCTGCTGACGCCTGGTCTGACACTTAATAAAGAGTGGGTTGTGTGGCTTTGCAGAACAAAACTTCCACTCAGCAGAACAGGCCCTACTAGGGCCTGCAGATGGCAACACTGACTGGTGAATGAAGCTTTGTGCTTGGAACATGCCTACCCAGCATCCTAACCCCTTGAGTGGCTCATTCCCCTCATGGGATATGAAGGAATTGGCTCAAGTAACGGAAGTGAGGCCATTAACTAGCAGTTGTTACTAGAATTTATTATGGGGCCTGAACAGCAGCTGTGCATTGGCAACAACATGCTAAGTAGAAGAGTTTCATGTAGGTTTAACTGCCAAGCTATTAATCATGAGCCCCCTATATTGATCCCAATGTTAGGTTTCTCTCCAACAAGAAAGAGTTCTTCAAAGAGAGCAGAGCTAGGCAGTTCTAAACAGGTTGGTCCAAAGCCCAATTCACATCCTAATTATTGCAAACCCAGAGACCTGCAGCCTGATCCCCCACTGTTGCGCATCCCAAAGCATTAGTTAGACAAGTACAAAATGTGGATATGAAAAGTAACCAAGTCAACAGGGCAGTCGCACTCACTCTGCCCAACTGCAAGTGACCGTAAGACGTGAGACTCAAAGGAACCTGGCTTCTAGTCTACAAGGACAGCGTGGGATTTTCTTTGAAGGTATTTTGGATAGGGAAGTTGGGCAAGCTACAGCTGGCTCCCTAGCACCAATCTTCTTTTGAGCTGCAGCACCACTTGCCCACAGCAGTAACCACTAACCACTTGTAGAACAAAACGCAAATCTCATTTGCCCCAATTTATTTACCCAAAGATGTGCACACATCCCACGCCTTGCTAGTCACAAATGCACTCATGTGAAGCAGCCAGAAGCAGGATGACAGTCAGCAACATCACACACTTAGTGTTCCCATCCATGTATGCGCTGTGATATAGCACTTGCACACACACACTCAGTCATATACTATACAGACATGCTCATTTCTCTCCAGCGCAGAGAGGGTTGCTTGTACTGCAGGAACAGGAACAGAAGTGTAGTGTAGAGAGACACCAAATTAGTTTTAAAACCAATGATCTTGGGTGCTTTTAGCCAGCACAGCATGGAAACCAGCACTGGCTAATTTGCCTACATTAATTCATCTGCTCATTAATGCATACACAAATGAATCACACTGTTTGTTCTACAGATTGGGGAGTAAGAGGAAGTGTGTCACTGGTATGTCTACTTTTTAATAGGAAGCCCTCTGAGTCAGTGGTAATGGTGGATGCCAGTGGATAGAAAAAGAATCTGAGTAGTCCCTAAAAATGTATTCAATTCTCATTTAATCTTGCATGCTTCGAGATGCTTATTTTTAGCCCAGTCCTTCCAGCCAACTGCTCCATCTATTGCCATAAGGGACACCAAGCACATTCCCCTGACAGAAAACAGCTTTGGAGATGTAACATCTGATTTAGAGCACTGTCTGATCATCACCGTCACACCAGGTTCACAGGGATATAACTCTGTTACCTCTGTTGACATCTAGTTCTCACCAGTGAGCTGAGAGCAGTATCACACCCAGAGTGTGAAATGGTTTGACACAAAGGGTGATCAGTCTAGCTAAATTCCATGGTATATAAACACACCTTTTATTGCTGCTGCACGTAGTGATAAATGCACTCCAGCCTACCACCCTAGGCATGTGACACAGTTTATTTAAGCACCATGGGGGTGCACCCAGAGGCAAAAACAGAAGTGGTAGCATTGCATGTCCCCTTCTGGAAATGCGATACCTAAGTGCAGCCACATGTCCAAGCTGGAATCAAGGTCCCCTCATGCTAGGCACTGCATACTTACACAGTAAAGCTGCATCTACCCAGCACAGTGCAGTGCCATGGAGAGATACCTGACCTAGCTCTGAATGAGCTATCTTGTGTGCCAGAAACAGCATAGCTGCATGTGCGTGTCATGGCACCTGGACTAATGGTCTCTGCTGAGAAGCAGGTTCTGTATAATTGGCTTGGCTGTATCCATGATGTGCTGCATAACACTGGGAGCATGTGCTCTAAGAGATAACCCTTGCCCCAGAGCACTGATGATGGCCTTTTGTGGGTATTATTTGTTGCAGGACCTGTTCAAAAGGCACGTGGCCTCTTTGTACTCCTTTGCTGCCATCAAATAGCTCTTTTACCTTGCATTTTCAAAGCCAGCAAGGATAGCTCTCCCATTACTGCTGTGTTTTCCTTGGATGGGTGTACATGCACACCAGTCCCATACAGAGCTCATTATTTTCTTCTCTCATTTGTGAGGCAATAACTCCCACGCAGGAAAAAGGAAGCATTTTTTTAACAGATACTGCAGCCACTTCCTTTAAAAGCCCTTCAGCCAGCTTGCTGTGTGCAGGCAAAAAGGCAGAGAGCCGCTTCTGATTGTCTCATTACAATTGTTTTTTGAGTTCTGCTCCTTACATCTGCAGGGACATGTTCCTGGCTGTTTTCCCTTACGGGAAGGTCCCGGAAGCACTCGGGCTTTGAGCTCCACTGCAGCCTCAGCTGTTCTGCTCCAGGGCCCTGCCCACAGCCAGCTTATGTCCCTCTGTCAGTCTGTGTCTTTCCTCCTCTCTCAAGCCCGCTCCAAGAGTGTGATGACTGGTGATCCCATGGCATCCTGCCACAGACCGGCCTCCAACAACCCACTGGAGCGGCCCCTAAAGATTGGCTGGCTGAAGAAGCAGCGCTCCATCGTCAAGAACTGGCAGCAGAGGTACTTTGTGCTGAGGGGCCAGCAATTGCTCTACTACAAGGATGAGGAGGACGTCAAGCCCCAGGTACAGTGAGTGAGCACATTGCTTTCTAGGCCAGTCCTATGTTCACTTGAGACTCCCCACTGTTGTACCCCGACCTCTAGGAAACCAGATTAGGATACAGTCAGGAAAAGTTCAGAAAGGGGAGTGATACTGGGGGCATTTTGGTAAAGAGGAGGCAGTAGAAGAATTAACCATGGCTTTATGGTTCCAGGGCTCAGCCAGTGGCAATGGTCTCATGGTGAAGCCTGTCCATATAGCATCAAGGAAAGGAGGGACTTCGGGCAGGGTATGGAGATAGCTCTGTGGCTGGGGGGAGCTCCGGAGCAGCGTCTGTTTGAGAATTCACCAAGCAAGTGCGGGAGACTGCCATCCTAGACCAACCATAAGCGAGAGACCCACCATTTCAGTAGGATGAGCATAGCTTGCAAAGGGGCCTGGAAGTGAGGACAAGCACTTTGTGGTTGAGGTGGCAGAGAAAAGAGAGAGCAGAAATGGGGCTTGGAAGGAAAGGGAAAGTCAAAGCAACAGGTTAGGAAAAGGACATTGATGACAGTTTTCTGAACAGATGCAGAATCTTGTTGGTCAAAGCTAAAGACTAGGATGCTGTTGTCGTTGGGATATGGGACAATGAGAGTTTTAGCTCCTGTTTGACTAGGAAAGGTTTTATTTTAGGGGGATAATTTGAGAAGACTCTGAAAGTGTTAGACATGCCATGAACATGAGGAGCTAGAGAGAGAGCCAAGCTGAATGCAATGCCCAGATTATAGGCCTGAGGGGGACAGAATGGTATTTTGACCATCATGGTCAAAAAAAGGGAGTGAGTGGAGGGA